CTKCCTAATGTTGGGGTCACTTGCCCAAGGCTGCGTCTGTTTGTGCAACCTGCTTTCATCTATTCCATCCAGATACTGAATTGATTCACACAAAAACCAAAACAGACTAGAAAACTTGTGTCTAGTTGTGAACTTCTGATAAACTTCGAGCAGTGATACTTCAAAAAGGCACTGAGGGTCAGAACAGAGACCAAATGCTTTTAAGTAGCTGAAGTTTTAATCTAAATATGGAAAGAAGTTTCTCCATTAACCAATTGATACTGAAGTTATGTTCTCTACCTTCAGCTATATTGTTGCTATAAGGTAGTTGGGAGCTTGCAGAACTTTGTTGCAAAATTACAAAAATAGAAGCCCATTCTGATAAAATAACAAATACTGTTCTTAGAATCTTACCATTACCTCCGGCAAATGTATTAGGGTTAGAATGCATGTAGTTAGCTAAACTGCCCATACTGACTGGCTTAAATATGCTGCTTCTCAAAGAATGAATTAAGAGGACTCATTTCTTGCATTCCTTCCTGTATAGCATGAAGTGAATCACAGGTTAAAAGTTTATGTTGATTAAGTTATGATGAGAGCTGCAGACCTGGAAGAAGTTTGCATCAAAACTAAGGCTTATGATTTTTGGTGCRTCTTCAAAAAGGATGCATAACACTACATATGAACAACTTTGAGGTTTCAAACTAAAGCTTTCTAAAATTAGCGCACATCAATGTCTCTGGTTGTATTTCAGTGTGTGTATGCAGAATGACTGCTACAAATTGCTATTTAATGGCAGATTTTGCACTTAAAATACATGATGGATTTCATCTAAAGAAAACCAGAAGGAATATGGTTTAATATATTTTGGAATAGATTAGATCCACAGACTTAAAATGGTTTTCTAGTTGAAATTTTGATTGATTTTAATGTTGGGTTGTTTTGTTTTGTTTTCCTGTTTCTGTTTTGCAGTGTTATGTGGGAACCGATGGGAGACGGTAARAAGATTATTTCACTGGCTGATAACAACATATTATTGTGGGATTTGCAGGAAAGTTCATCCCAAGCTGTGGTAAGAAATATTCTTTCAACAAAACATTATATACTTGAATACAGTGCAAACAACAACGTTCCCCAGCCTAGAATTTGCTGATCTTTTGACTATTCCTTCAGAAATATCTTGTTGCCTTTAATGTAGGTGGGGAAATGAATCTTCTACTGTTGTCTTGAATACATGTGTTAAAGAGTAGTATTTTTGTATCTGTTGCTGGTGAGTAAATGTTTTCTATGTTCTAAAGTTCCCCTTGCTGTCACTCGTTTTACAGTGAGTAATCTAGAATAAAGCAGCGCCAATTTGGGAATGTCTGCAAGATAAAAATTGGTGATCAGTAAAGCCAAAGGTTATGGAATTCAGATAATGGTATATTAACTCATGTTGGTTAATGCCATGCAGCCCACTATTTAATTTATAACCCTTGATTGTATAAGCATGATACAACTTTCTCTATTTGCTATGTGCTGCTTTGAATTCTCACTGTTAGTTCAACTTAGTACTATACGGTTAATTSAGATTATTTCAGTTTTTGTTAAAACTATCTTAGTCAGGAACATATATAAAAAAGTGTCATTGGCATGATTTTTGTCAGATTACGCCATATCATRGATTGTATATAGAAAACTTTGGATGATTCTTTATAGTCACTYAGGTCAGTGTCTGTGCTTAAAAATGGAAATTCATTTTGTCAAGGACATTACTATTCGGCTGATCTGTTGTCACTTTTGGATTTAACTCCTCAGGTTAGGGTTAATTTTATTTTCCTGCATGCTGCATAATCAGTTTTTCACCTAAGTCAAGACACTGTGTCCATAAACTCTTCCCTGTTGGTACCATCTGACAGTGTTCAAATAGATGATGTCTTGAGTTATTAGTATTTTGCTAGGTTGCACACAGTATCAATGTAATGTGATATAGTTTAATCGTTTGTGTTTATAATTAAGCCCTGTGGGTTCCTTCACAAGATGAGAAAACTTCAGCTTTTTTTCTACATGCAACTACAATTGGTGTTATGTTGCCTTCCAAGGCTTCTTCGAATCAGTGTTTGTTTTTATCAAATTGATGTTGAGAGTTTCTGACAGCTTGCCTCCAGGAGCTTTGTCTGTGGCACTGCATCCACTGGATTTGCATTACACCTGCATTAGTCAGTATTTCTCTCCTAATTTCTGCATAATACACAAAACTTTCTATGAGGTTGAAAAACTACTTTGGGGTTGGTGCTGTTTTCGTCTATAGGTCTTCATGTCTCTTTGAAGGACTGGGACTGCTAGGCAGCTTAGCATTTTCCCTTTCTCCTACTCTGGCTCTTTGTGAAGTTCTGTCCTCATTTGCTGAAATTCTTATGATTTTTAATTAGTATTTTTGCTGTTCAACCACTTTCTCGTCATTTTCTGTCAAWTTTTTTCGTTCTCCTAACCCCTCTGAAATGTCCCTCAGAACAGCCTCAAGCAAAAAAAAAAAATCAGGTCTTGCCACACTAAAAAAGGGGCATGTTAAAACAAATTAGAAATAAAACCCCACAACATTTTCTTTATAAGCAGATAGACAGAGTTTATGTAAATGACAAGAAAAATTGTCTTTATGGTTCATTAAGATGAAAGGTTGTGCATTTTTGGAATCTCTTAGGCACCCGATGTCTTATCACCTAATATGCTGTTTGGTTCAAGCAGGCAGTGACTAAGCAGGAAGGAGCTGATGTTGAGGAAATGTCCCTGTCTGASCATCCAGGAGTCGCTCTGGCAGTCACTCCCATGGCCAGAGACTTTGGGCAGCTCCAGACAGGTYCCCACCKGACTCCCTGCACACCCCTCTGTCMCACAGASACACCAGGCTTCCCAGAACAGTCCTCTCAATCCTAAAGTCATTTMATCATGGTGCAACAGCAAAACAGCTTGGGCTGGTGCCTCTGATGAGGGACCCTGAACAAAGAARACCCTGGGGTTTTATACCCTCCCAGTCCATGCAGCAAAAGTCTGGGGTCTTCCTTCTGAGTCCTCAGCTCTTGCTGTGTCCCYGARTGTCCTGTCACCTGGCTGATGACACAGGTCCCTRTGCCTTTTGTTGAGCAAAGGGTCAGTGCCTTTTGCCAGCCTCTTGTCTCATTTCTCTCCCCCACCCAGAGYTCAATCTGCAGCTGGCACTGCAGCTACACACAGAGCTACCTCCACTGAATGTTTTCCTCAACACTAGTAAACTTATGTATTCTGTAGGGATTGCTGGGGGKAGAACATCTTCAAGATGAATAACATCATCATCATTATCTAAAGATAAGATTTGGTCCACTGTATCTGTGTCAGGTAATAGAGGTAAAGAGTTGTTCATTACACTGGTGTATCACCGGTCTTCCTGTTTTTACAACACATTTCAATTGCTTCCCCTTTTTTGCACAGGGACATATTATAGGCAATTTTAATGGCAACAGTCTGGTTATTCTTTAAGGACTTGTCATGTTTATGAAAAGGTTTGTCTAAAATTCAGGTATAATGTAGATGAAAAACTGAAAACATATCTTTAAAATTTTGCATAGGCCAAAATTTTTGCTTCTCTACATTAATCAAAACTTCAGTCTTATTTGGTTCCTTTTCTGTATCTCCCTGTGATTTACAAGTCATATTGTTTCATTAAAATTAGCCTGAAGAATTTTAGAGTTCCCAATACATTCAGAGCTTCTTGCTAATAAAATTATTGCTGTGTTCATTCTCTGAGTTATATGGTCAGCTTGGGATARGAAACATTTGCTAACTGTAATTTACTATATAGTTCAGTGGGTTTGTTTAGGTTCATTTTGGTTTTGGTTTGGGGTTTTGTATTTTATTCTCTTTCAGTGTTTTTTTTTTTGCAAACTTGTTTCCTCCTTAGAGTATTTAATTTGCCTGTATTTACGTTAAGACAAGCTTCTCCTGTCCTTTYGATCACTCCCTTTATTATTGTTTTGAGGACATTACCTTCTGGGGTGAAACTAATCTTATGCTCACTGCATCATTACCTTTTGCAATTAAATTAGCTATTCTTTGCCATTTATAATCATTAGCTGGACCCAAGAGAAGCCCAAACAATCCACAAGGTGTGGGTAGAGTCTGCTGAGAAGATGACAATTAATATTTCTGTGTACAGATTTGAGGTCAGRTGTCAAAAAATTGTTAGAACTCTTCTTTGGGTAAATGCCGTATGTTTGGCATGGCAGATAAGTGCAACAGAATGAAATAGAGATATTAAAATTTAGATATTTTTCTGGTTTTCATATGTTTTCACAGTAGAGGTGTGATTTTGGTCATTTTAATCCAAATTATTGATTAGATTCCTTCTAGATTTCTTATCCCTTCTGGATTATTTAGCAGCATACATGTRGTCTAGGTTCAGAACAACAGGTAATATCTGTCATTGGCATTCCAGGCAAGGCAGAATATATTTTGGGGAAGATTTCACAGGCTATCTGGATAAAAGTGGTGTATCCAAATACAGAAGGATGTTAGGAATAAGCATGAGATGCTTTCTTGGTGAGATACCTGCTGTTTCTCAAGGCAGAAAATACCTTGTGGAATTTAGTAGAGAATTTTTTAGAGTGCCCCATTATTAATGCAACTAGACTAGAGTAAACATAGATTAATTATAGGTGGGCAGAAAACATTCTAAATAAAAGAAAAAAAGAAATTATTGTATCAGAATGAAAATAGAGCCCAGCTCTCAGAGTTGGAATCAATTTTATTTAATGGTCTCCTTAACAATAGAAGTAGGAGTGAAATAGTGAAAATTATTGCTGACAGAACTTGGAATGCATCATCATTATATAGGAACAACAATATATTTCAGAGGATGAACTTGATGTTTAGTTTAATTTTTGTAATATAAAGCAGAAAACTTGTGTTTAAGACATAAAAATATTTTCTTACTATAATTTAGAAACTCAGCACATAAAAATATGTGTATTCTGTTACTTAGTTATTTCAAGAATAGCTCTGAGCTGCCAATATGATGATGCTTTTGAAGAAGGAAAATAGTTTTAAGATGGTTCAGGAGTCAAGAACAGTTATGAAAGGACTTTGTGGATGGTTGCCTGCAATTGGAGGWATTGAACTCAATTTGCAATCCTCATCAACGTTTCTGTTCCTGTCAATAACAGGAAACAGAAAAACTCTCATGTTTTTTTTAATGGCAATCTCAAAGTAGTCTGCTTGGGTTTGTCCTCTAAATGTAGCCCTTAACATATCTTTCTTCCAAGYACTTTCCTGTTCTGTTCTTGGTTACAATCAATGTGTGTCTCAAGGAGTCCATTGGGTGAAGAATTACTTTCTTTGGTTTCCTGTTGAATCTTCTGCAGGCTTCCCTCAGTGGCCTATAGCTCTTTTCTTGGAAGAGATGGTTCACTGTCTCAATGCTGCTTGTGGCTTTTCTGGATAATTTCTGTACTACCCTTTAATATGTATTGGCTTTTGGGGTTTTTTTTGAATGATATTGCCTATCCTTCCTTCTTTCCAAGTCAGCCCTTATGTAATCAAATTCTGAAGCAGAAAAATCAACCTCAGTCATTGATACTTTGACAAAAATATGTTGGAGTAATTGACATTTTCATTTGAATACTCAGAAATCAGTCCTAGGACTGATATGTAGGATATCCTAGGATAGATTTTTTTCATATTTGGTTGCTTTGCTTTTGTAAAACCCCTTCCTTCATTGAGGATAACATAAGCAGTTGTATTCTGATCATGTTACATTGTTCAATTTTTTCCAGATTTTATTCTTATTTCAAAGTTGCTCTCATGCAACTGTAATATAATATCATTTATCAACTTTATTATTTCTCTTGTGTCGCCAGATTTAGCATTGTTCCAGCTAAGCATTTAGGAACAGTTTTAAATCCATCCATACTCTGATAACCATTTCACATTGTTCAAKATTTTATTTTCTCCAGACTTCCTTTCTGAATTCAGTGTGATACTTGTGAGTTGCATAGATAATTTTATTGTCTAGAAGTAGACATTACCCTATTACTTTCTTTTTTCCTTAATATAAGTCACATTTTCCGTTTAAAAATAATACCATGAATTGTTTACCCTCGGTATCCAGTGAGACCATCACACCTGCATATCTTCATCTTCTGGGCAGCATGGATCCTAATCTTCATGCAAGAATAATGTTTAAAATACACCTATGCCATGCTTTCCTTTCCTTTTGTAGTAAACTTTTCTGCCTCTAAAGAAGTGGCAGAAAGAGTTGAAGATAAAAAGAGCACTTGCTTACCCATCTATATATTTAAATATGAAATTACAGCTAAGGTTTTTTTTTGAGCCTGCATTTGTGATTCTGAACTACCAACTTTGCTTCCTTTATTTCTTTTTTTCTGGGAAGGAAACTTGCAGACTTCCTTCTGTTACATAAGGATTCCTTTTTATCTATGAAAATTTCTCTCCTTTGTCTCTAAATTGTCCTTTACATTCATGCAGTTGCTTTCAGGCTCATAGATGATACGGAAAAGAAGATTGAAATTGATTAAAAACTTGGCTGTTTATATAGTTGGACATCTGTACAAGGAAAGATGTCATTTAATTCCTACAAGTCCTTATGAATTGCTTGTGAAGGCAGGGATGAACTGGTCAATCTAGAATATATGTGATTTTTTTTTCATATGTTGTTAAGAAATAGCACAGTGTGTGTGTACTGGCTTCAACCCTAAACTTTTGACTGCAAAAAAAAAGAAAAAAATGATCTTTTTATAATAGCTCATATTATGAAAGTTGAAATGAGAAGACTTAAATGTAAGTACMTGTCCGGAATGGTGGAGAAAGTGTAGTCTACTGCTGACAAAGACCCTTGCCCRAGTCATATTTTGATTATGTGATGCTTTCCATCTCAAGAGAAGGTTCTGGAAATACCTGATAAGATATACTCTCTTTGTTGGTACTRTCATATTCTTAGTCTTAACATTTACTTCTCTCCCCCTACTCTSAGCTTCGAATGTCCAAGTCTGCTTACTAAAGAAACTTATTTTAATTTTTGAAATTACSTTCACAAACTATGAATATTCTATTGTGTCTGGAATCTGTGTCAAAAAATAAAAAGTGAATTTTATTATTCTGTGCCCAGTGTCCTGTGAAGTGTTTTTTATTTCTATCAATCACATGCAAGTTATAGAAAGACTTTCAGACAGTGTTTGTTCCAGARGAGGAATGGTGTTAGAGGATAGGTTTGGCCTCAGTGGTACATTATTCATTAACACATGGGCAATACATGATCTTGCATGCTGGGAATTCCACATTCTTTAAAAAAAAAATAGATTCTAGTTGTAATTTCTAGATTGTTAATMATAATGCTAAAGAAATATATTTTGTTGGAGTTATAGTAAATAAAAATTTAGCAAAATACAAACATGAACATTTATACAATATATAAATAGATTTAAGGAGTCTTGTATTGACAGCATATTTTCTGTTGATGTCAGTTAAAGTTTATGTAAACAGTTTGTATGTTTTAGCTTTTTCATCCATCGAAGCATAACATTTCTGCTGAGAAATCTACTAGTAAATAGAATATTTTTGTTTCATTAGGATCCAGCAAGATCCAGTGCAGTAATCTGCTTTTGTGAAATACCTYATAATGAAACATTTTGAAATATGGAAGTTGTGTGAAAGATGACCACAGATAAGTCTGCTGTTTGTGTAGCTGCTTGAAATTGGTGTAAATTTTGTATCTGATAAATGCAAATATTTTGGTTTTCTTCCCCCTWCTTAGGTATTAGACAGTTTCAGTAAGTGATTGGAAGTAAAAGTACTTTGCAGTGTCAGCAGCTTCAATTTCCCCCATGTTYAGATAGATTTGGGGGATCACTTGCTATACAACTTCAAAGAAAAAGTTGATTATTTTGGACCTTCTTTTCATTGACTGTGGAGATACAGAGCTACCTGTTCAATGACATGCAAGTCTGTTTTGGAACTGAAACCTTTGTATCTCACAGATACCGGATTTGTTATTTAGTATCTACTGTTATTTTGACAGCCATGTGTGTGATGGTACGGGCCCCATGGCCTTTATTTCTTTTTTTCTTTATTTTTAAAAGCTGCTATACATTTATGAAAATGAGTCTTTGACACCATAATTCTGTTACTATTTTGGGATGGAAAAAATCTTGTAGGGCTGACTGCTGATGAAGCTAAATGCATGTGTGTGTGGCAGCTACAAATCTGTGCAGTTTGCCCATATTTTCTATCTACTGTTTCAACAATGATCTGAAATTGTTTTCTAGAATAGTATAGTCCTTCTAATATTTTTGAATACATTAYATTGCATAAGCCTTTGTAAAAATTAGTGATGGAACATCAGCTCTAGCTTTTGCTTTTTTGTTTCCTTACTTTGTTTAAAACTTTTTTCTTTTCAGTCTTTGGATTTGGTAATCTGTTGCACTTGGAGCAAYGGGCTATTGAGCAGCTTTGTCTTCATTGTAACTAATTTAATTTCAGTGTTACATTTAGAAACATTGCCAGCTTTGTTTCATTATTTTAGCTCTCTAGTTCCACAGCCTTGGAAGGGAAAGGACAGTTAAAATTTACTTCTGGAAGATGGAGCCCACACCACAATTGTACCCAGATTGCCACAGCCAACGATACCACTGTCCGAGGGTGGGATACACGAAGCATGAGGTAAGGACAGCTTGCAGTCATGTTCTCTGGAAAAGACAATCTCCTTTGGAGATAGATTTTTTTTTTTTTGCATTGCTCCTAGCATAATTTCTTTTTTTTAAATGATGATAAATGTGGCAAACTTATAATTTATAAAAGGAATAGAAAGACTTGCATAGCTGATACAGTTACAATTCAGCAGAGTTTTCCCTGGTATTCCTCCTCAGCTTCACTTCTAACTTGTATATTGAGTTTTACTGAACTATGTACTAGTCTCRTGAGGATTTGTTCAATACATAGGGATTACCTGAATTAAGCTGTTTTGTAATTCAACCTGAAAATGATTTAACARCAGTCCTGACTATGCTATGAAGTGTTTTAATAGCATTTAAAGGTGACTTTTAATCTTTGAAGGCAATTCACAGGCTAAGTTCACTCTTCACTCTTGATTTTAATGAAGTGTTCTATACTATATTAAAGACTGTAGCATACTAGTTATAAGAAATCACTGAATCTATCAAAATCGTAACCAAATAAAAGCTTTGAATATGCTTAATAAGGCACTTCCCCCCTACTTAGTTGTGATATTGATAAGCAAAGGAGTGATGTTGTGCACATCCGTTGCYATGACTACTAAAGCCTCTGCAAGCTTTTTAAAAATACTCTTTATCCCCTTAGCACATAGTAATTTATCACTAAACCAAGAAGACTGATGTCTTGTAATAACTTTTGTTGCCTTAAAGGGTGATGACTTTAAATTTAGTTCAGTGCTTCCTGCCAGCTCAGTAGCACAAAAGCCCTTGTTTGCTAGTCTTGTGGTTTTGCCAAAAATATWTATTTAATTAAGGAAAGCTAAAAATACAATAATTAAAAGTCACTTCCTGTATGCATATCATTGGGTTTGAAAGTTCTTTTCTCTACTTAATGAAATGATATATAAAAATCTAACTTTATGTAGATGTGTGTACTTAGATTTGTAAAGACCCTTTTAAATGATGTGTACAAGAATGGAAAGAGGACAAAGGAGAAGGGGTTTTATTAATTTGCTTTTATTGTGATTTTTTTCATAATCCTCCAATTTCTAACATAGTGTGCAGATCTTAAAACTCAAGCCTGTGTTTTGAAGAGAGAATATTAAACATTGTCAAGTCTGCATCATGCTCTCTCTCATTAGAAGAATCATCTCTCTCTTGCATTAGAGGAATTCTCTAAGTAACTTCTGTGAAAGCYAGATAGTCTGCATATTAACAAGATCCTCAGTGAAAGGGGAAGCTTGATTAATAGAAACAAACCCCACAATTCTGATTACTTTAAATGAAGCTCAGAGTAGATCTTCCTTAAACCAGTTCGATTACTCGGCTATGCCAAAGAGCTGTTTGCAATATAATCAAGAAGTATGTGCAAGAGTAAGTCTCTTTCTCAGTTATGCTGTAATATGTCTATTATGTGAATATTTAATAATAATTAGTCTAGAAGGAGTTTTAAAGTCAGGAAATTATAAACTGTGACAGTATAAGAAGCATAAAATGAGGGGGAGAGAGAAATGAAGGGCAGAAAACTGTTCTACCAGCAAAGTGAAATGAGATAGAAGTAGCTGGAATAGATACTCTTTCAGAGTGTGCTTATGATAGCTGCAAGATAYAGGGAATACATTCTTTAGGACATAGGAAACAAAGAAGGGGAGAAAAAGAAAAGAGATTGGCAGCAAGAGTCCTAGACTTGACTAAGAAGCAGTCTCAATCAGAGAAGAGCTTGTGGAGCAGAGAAGACAGACACTAGGCTGATTGGATTTAGAGAGAGAATTTTATCAGGAAAGTTMAGACTCCAAGGCTAAATTCTAAATAATATGTAAGAATAATAATATGAGAAAGTGGAGCCAATAGCTGGAGAAAATGTTTATGTGGTCTGGCATTAATCTTACAATATAAGTGGGAAATTTAGTGTATGAATTATTGCTGTAGGTGGGATGAAAAGTGAAGGAAAGAATATTCATATTTGGGGAGGAAAGGGATCAAGTGGTCACAATAGTAGTTAAGCTGAGATAAAGGCTTTTGTGGTGAGTAGTACTGAATATACATGGACAGTGTTAGTTTTAAGCCCTTACACACATCTTTATGAGCAATGCAAGAAAAAAGTGGAAGGTGCAATAAAACAGGAAAGAAGGGTTTTACTGCAGAAAGCATGCTAGAAGACTTAAAATTTTTGTCATATACATATTCTAAGAAATTAAGGGGAAGGTTGAATTCAACTCCTAGAAGGTATGGTAGAAAGGCATATCTGAATGATATCCTTAGCCTCTCACACTCTGAGAAGAGTGTTGATGTTAGATATTGAAGTCATTTCACTTGTGACTGCCAGAGCTGTCAGGATAGGTCTCAGTACAGGCTTGATACACTTTGAATTTCTCCTTATGGAGATATTTTGCTTTGTATTTCTAATTAAGTATTAACACTAAGAGACTATCTGATCTTGACAGATGACCATAAGAATATGAAGTTTTCACACGAAATAGGAAGTTTTGGTCAGTATGTGTACTGAAGAGAAACATTTTTTGTTGAAAGAAAATGAAAAGCTCACTAAGTATTGAAAAGTTCTAGAGAAGATTGTAGGAGATGGTCAAGTCTAAGCACAACTTTAGATGATGTATTTGTGGCTTTGAGAAAACTAGTAATAATAGTAGACACAAAAAAACCCTTGACAAATTCCAAGTTTAAAAGGCATGGTAGGGAAACAAACTGATGGCACATAATGTTTTGAATAGACCTGCTAGGTACTACAGATGTTTTCTGAAGTGGTCCAGATGGATCAGTGTACATCAGGCTGAGTAGCTTAAGAGCCACAGGTAMATTAGTGACAAATGCAAGAGCTCAAGAAGGTAAATTCAATACAGAACAGTAATAAAAAGCTGTTGTTGGTTTCACCAGATACCAACAGCAGCTCTCCTCTCTCTTCCTTTTGCCTCTCAGCTTTTCCTACAGGGAGAAGTAGATGTCATAAATAGAGAGTATAACTGCTTGGGCAGACAAGTTCTTATCTGAAACTGTTGTGGTTTAGAAGCAGACATTTATAACAGCTSTTACAGAGCTGTGCTAGAATCATCTGGAACTACTGTTTCCTTTTAACTCCAGATGATCCTAATGGAAAAAAATATGGAAAGAGCAAAGCTTGAAAGCATGCTGAGGAATCTATACAATTCACTGTTATTAACAGCTGGAAATTCCTTAAACTCTACCCTAGCAATGGGAACTCGAGGTCTGTGGGTTAGAAGGGGATTATGCAAGTATCCAGGGAAGTGGATTCCTGTAGATGGAGTGCCGTTCGCTTTTAACAGACGATTTAATTTTTTTAATCTTTTACAGGCAGATATATTGTATAGAAAATGCACACGGACAGCTGGTACGAGACCTGGACTTTAATCCCAATAAACAATATTACCTGGCTAGCTGTGGAGATGACTGCAAGGTGAAATTCTGGGACACAAGAAATGTCACTGAACCAGTGAAGACACTAGAGGAGCATTCCCACTGGTAGAACAAATTATCTACATGCTGTTTTGTGGGTGGATGGTTTATGTAATTTATTCAGCTAATTATTTTACCATTTAGGAACAATGCAAACGAACTATGTTTGTGCTATTGTGAATAATCATTTTTTTGCAYAGAGGAAACATTCCAAGATGTCAGTGTTCCTTGTGTAATTGTAAATTAAGAGTTTAGACAGTGTTAGTTTAATTGGCAAGCAAGTGTTGTTAGCATTGTTGGGAGATGGGGCACACCTTTGARAAGCACAGCACACAACTTGGCCCGTGGGGCCCAGCTGGGACACAGGTGTGCCTTCCCAAATGGAGACTGATGGGCTGCACCTGATGTGCAGAAAAGCAGCTGCCATCCATCCTTCTGTTGTCAAATAGCTGAAAGGTTCAGTAATGCTGTTCCACTTTTTTATGCTCTTCACAGTCCTTAAGTCAGAATATGCAAGTGAGTCATTTTATTCTCTAGGATAACATTTAGAGTCTGTATCTGCTGCATTGGCCTGTGGCTGGAGTAAGGAGAGAATCTTGTCTGATGTCTGYAAATTTCAGTGCTTAAGAAAAGATGAATTATTCATATTTTATAAAATTTGGGTTGGAGTAATTCTTGCAGAATAAATCCAGACCCTAAAGCTACTTGAAGGGGAATGAAGATGTGAATTAACAGAAGCATCATTTATATTTGTTCAGCATATTCAAAGAAAAAAAATAAAACAGGAACCATAAGATTTTTGGTATTGACTTGATATGTAAAATGTAAAAATTGAAGAGAACTATAATCCTCCATTTGTTTTAGGATCTCTTTTAGACTACGTTAAGAATGTTGTGAGATTTTTGTTTAACAGGCTATTTTTAATCCATATTTTGCTTTGGGGAAATTTTTATATTTAGGACTTAGGTATTTATCTGGCTTACTCAACAATGAATTGGCATGTACTCTCAAGGAATGATACCATTGTGTAGTATGATTTGTTTCTGTTTTTTTAAACTTATTTGTTGAATTTTAAAAACATCTCAGAAAACAGATGACATGGAAGCCTAAAAGAAGATGGCAAAAAAACAGTTTTTGGAATGAGGCGTGTTACTTCTATGCATATTTAAAACATTGAAAAGTTCAATTTTTAGTACTGTTCTTAAAAAAAATCAGTTTAACAGTGATGCACTACCTACCATGAATAGTCTCTTGTTCTTTCCTCTTTAACTTTTTTAGGGTTTGGAATGTCAGATACAATCATTCTCATGATCAGCTGATCCTTACAGGAAGCAGTGATAGCAGAGTTATCCTGTCTAATATGGTATCAATTTCTTCTGAACCATTTGGGCATATGGTAGATGATGATGAACTCAGTGACCAAGAGGACCAGCATCAAGAAGAGAAGTATGAAGTTTCCTGAGTTTTATGCAGATGTTTATAATTTGTCTTTTCATTGTAATGATTTACCTGCTATTTTTTTGCTGAATAGGTTTTTTGTATACAGGCCTGTCACGTAAGTAGCTTGAATTCCCACTTTATTCTCCTCTATTCAGTCTTGGGTGGAATGAACTCTTTAAATCTGATTGGGGCGGTCACTCTGTGTTCACTGGTAAGAAGGGAATGGCGATGCTGAGGATCAGTGCTAAAGTCCACTGGATTGGTAAAAGGATTCACTTTAAGGGAGCTCTGGTTTAAGTCAAGCATGTAGAATAATCTGATTTAAGTGAGAATTGGAAAACATGCTTTTGTATTTTCTGTGTATGTRTTGCAACCCTTAGGAAATGCTACCAGTCTAATGAAGAGCTTCTGTACAGGCAGAAGAAAGGAAGTATAAACACTTTTTTTTTTTTTTTTTCATTTTGCTCTTAATATCTCTGACTGCTCTGGAACCCAGCAATTCATCAAATCTAGTTCAAGCAATCTGGAAACTTAGTTTCAACACTTGGTRCATGCTGTCGGGAAACATGTGTAAACCCATCCACTTGGTTTTGGTGGAATCACATATTTTGCTTTGTGAATTTTGGAGGAATGGGGTTTTAGTAAAGAAGTAACTGAAATGCTAAAATARTAATTTTTATACTCAATTTTTGTGTGCTTTCAACTTTTTCATTGTGTAGTGTATGATGCTTGTTTTCTATTTTYATATATCTTTATATATATAACTATTTTTATATTTCTTTAAAAGTGTATGTATGTGTATACAGGGAGTTCTGTAGATTCTGTAGTTCTGTGGGGCCAAGGCTTTATAATTTTGTGACTAGCTTTCGTAGTCTTCAACAARCTCTCCTTGATAAAGTGAATTACAGAATAACAGAATTAATTAAGTTGGAAAAGACCTCTGAGATCAGAGTCCAGCCTATGACTAAACATGACCATGTCAACTAGACCATGGCACTGAGTGCCATATTCAGTCTTTCCTTGAACACCCCCAGGGATGGTGATTCTACCACCTCTCTGGACAGCCAGCCCATTCCAATTTCTAATCACCCTTTCTGTGAAGAAATTTCTCTTAGTGTCCAACCTAAACCTACCCTGGCATAGCTTGAGGCTGTGTCCTCTCTGGTCACTTGTTGGACAGGAGAAGACACCGACCCCCACGTGGCTGCCATCTCCTTTCAGGCGGTTGTAGAGAGCACCGAGGTCACCCCTGAACCTCCTTTTCTCCAGGATAAACATCCCCRGCGCCCTCAACCACTCCTCAYATTACTCCTTACTCACTGGACCCTTCACCATCTCCATTGCCYTTCTCTGGACAGCTCTGCAAAGCTGTCTGCAATGACATAGGCAGATTAACTCCTGAATGCCSTTTTAAAATAAAGAATAGTCAGATGCAATAAGGAACAAGGAAATTACAAAAAAAAATCCCTAGTTCAGCTGTGTTTGCTAGATGTTTCAGCTAAAATTTTATATCAAATTTAGCTTACTTCTCTAGTTGCATTTTCAAGATTGCTCTTGAATCTTAACTTTCTCAATAAGGATATAGTTTTGCTCCAAACAGTTTTGATGTTTTGGCTTCATTTGAAGGACCTAGAAGCTATTCTTTTTTAATACTAAATAAGAAAGTTATTCCATATATAGAAATTAAAGAAGTTATTTCATATATAGAAATGAAATTTACAGCATTTCTTTAGAAGATTTTCTCYAGGTGATGTGAGTGCCTGAAAAATCAAGGAGGATCAAATTAAGTACCTAAACATTTGCTCACATCAGCAGCATATATTTACTTTGTAGAATGTAACTGAGCTACAGTGCTTTAAATATAGAATCAAAGAATGGTTTGTACTGGAAGGGGTCTAGTTCCAACCCCCCATGCCATGGGCAGGGACATMTTTTGATTCCTTATCTTTGGCTGGAGATTGCAATTTATTCTGTTCTGCATGGAAGATAAATAGCATTAGTGGAAGCAACAAAGAGACCACATTTTTTTATRTGGTGGGAATGCATTAAAAATAATGTCACAAGTAAATAGCATTCTGACAGACATTGTGTAGTAGGTTATCTGGAATTCTGAATTTCTTGGATTGTGGACTGTGTAGGTTGCCTCATTAAAACACAAGTCGTTGTTCTAGAATAGGAATTTTTGAATCCACAGTCATCCAATGCAATACAACAAATATAATCTATCTTTTCCTATGGCTATGGGATGGATGTAAGCCACATCATGAATGACTTAGTAGTGATGGAGAGCCCTTGCCTCTTCCTAGAGGCTACAAGAGTATCAATTCTGCATTTGCTTTTTAAATGTGTGTTTTTCAGCTGCTCATCTGTTTTATAGAAAACCTGGGAAAGCACATTAGCTTTTGCAACCTTTGCTTGTTACTGTGAGAGTCTTGTTTTAGGCTCCCCCTTCAGCCCCCTTGTTATGAGTAGAGTCAGAAGGATGTTTGCAAGCTGCTCACCAGCCTTGAAATATTGCCAAATGAATGTCTGTTCAGTTCTGAGTGCACAAATGAAGTGGAGCATAGCAGCTGTTGGGAATACTTCTTGTTAGTCAATCACTAGTGCCAAATATTTTGGCTCTGATACCCTCCTGGAGACCTCTGTGAAGAGTCTGTGCACCATTCTGTGGGTGGTGTTTCTTTTGTAAAACACAGGTTTTCACTGTATGGTTTGGTGGAGGAAGGGTGTGTTTTGTTTTTTTTAATAGGATATGTTCTAGACTTTAAAAGAAGTGTTAGTATTCTCRTGAGGTTAATTTTTATCCTCTTGTGGAGGACATCTGATTTGTTATTAAACAGCACACAACTACTGAAAGTGAGAATGTCTTTTTCAGCTATATCTTGAAATGCACCAGTGTTTGTACAAGTAGTGTCACTAGCCAGTCACTTTCAGACTGAATACCAGATTTCTCTCTAAAAGTTAAAATACCAAGTGGAAAGAAAGGAAAAGGCTCTTTCTGCATTTTATTTGTCCTGAATACAATAAATTGTAAAAATACTCCCTGGATTAAATATAAAAAGTGATGAGTACATGCCAGTTGTATTTAAAAAGTTTTGTTGCTTTTTCTACTTARTGAAGTCCCCATATTTTGAAAACATTGACTTGTAATACTGTTCTACATAGTTAACACTTGTAAATTTTTAATATATTTCAGAGTAAATTTCCCTAATTTTTACTGTATTTCTTGGTTGGAGACAAAAGCAAATAGTATGTCAGTTTAACCTTTCCTTGTTCCTCCATGTAGAACTATGAATGAATCTGCCCACTCAATTATTCTTGCCACATTTGCTGCAATAGTTTTTAGGGTTCCCAACTGAAAATAATCATTTGGAGATAAWTTTTTTTGAAATAAAAGAATTCAAGTTCACTGCATTATGAATAGACAAATTAAAACTTGCTGTATTCCATTCTTACTAAGAGTTTCTTCTTAGTGGTTTCTTCCTTCAGCTTTGTTCTGTATATGTGGTGACATCTTGGGCCTGTCTGCTTCCATCTTAAAGGCCAGAACATCTTGAATAAGCAATGTAACTAGGACTGTTGCATGAGGATCTGTCTCTTGTTGAAATCAAGTGATGATCAGTTCCTCTTAACTGCTGGTTTAGATCAGAACAGCTAGGTAGCTGTCTCTTCCCTTCTTTTTAACTGCTGCTTTTGTTGTTTCTGTCATCAATCACAGACATGTAAAAGTGGGCAGCTTCCCTGTATCATGCCGAAGGTCTCCCTAGCCTGTACAGTGTGTCTTATAGTGGCCAGGAGGAAAAACTGTAAAAAACAGAAAAGAATATGTACTTCCTCTCAGTATTCTCCTAGCCCCTGATTATTCACAGTTCAGAGACATTTACTGCCTTCTGAATAGCCTTTCAAGACTTCTGATTCTTCCATGTAGGGTTCTACTTTCGTTATCAGCCATATTCTTGAGTTTATCTGTTCTCACTGTGTTTTTATTTGTTCCAAAACATGCCAGCTGTGCACGCACAGCTTTTGTGAAATGTGTCTAGGAGAAACATGCCAACTGTGTTTGTTTTCTTGCGCTGAATAAGGAAAAGTTTTGGTGTGTTCTGCCTGGGAAGCCCAAAGCTGCCACTGAAAATAAGTAATCTAAGAAGAGAATGGAGCCATCCACAGGGAAGAGGTGTAGGCATGTGGCCAGAGGACAGCTATGCTACATTCTGGTCAAGTCCTCAGTCTGGATTATTTAATGCACAGTTCAAATATGGAAAAAAACAACCAGCTGAGAAACGGTGAATGAAATCCTGCACTAGTTCAGTTTCTAGCACCTTGATCCAGAGGTACAAAAAAGGGTACAAAATAAAGTAGAATAGATGAGGGTAAGGACTTAGGGTTCTTTTAGGTTTCATCTCCAAAACAAAGCTAATGTGCCTGGATAAGAACATGAGAAGTGCTTTTCAATGCCTAAGTTCAATCAAGTGTTTTTCCTGAAGGCTTATGTTTCCCTCTTTCTTGCCATAGATATTAGCCATCATGCCCTTTGATACAAACAGATCTCACACCAGCACTTATTTAATATTTAAAGCTGGGAGATGTAAAGAATTYGTTCTTCCAGTACAGGGTATCACACTTGAGATCATGAAGTTTTTAATGAGATGTTATGTGTAGAAACATTTCAGCCATTGGAATAGACCATAGAGAAAATGGTGGCTGTGCTTTCTGTAGAAAGAGACGTCAAAATTCTATCTAAAGAAGTTGTGGTTTCTACTTTTTGTGATAGAAATGCGGTTTAGAGTTTTTTGAATAATAAATAATGTGATTTCACAATCTTACACATGAACTGTGTGATCTAACATAACACCTTTGTATATGCATCTGTGACTTCAGGAGAGAGATTTGTCAGCATTGATATTTTGAAAAGTATTTGCCAAACATGCTGAGGCAAGCTTTCAGGATATTTTCACACAGCTGTCAGTAGCGTTAATTTTGCTTTTGGTATTAATGTCTTGGAGAAACCTAGAAGTCATAGGATTATGCTATGGAATCAACCAAGAGACTTAATTAATTAAAATGGGTTAAATAGTTTCTGTTCTGGGGAATGCCAGGATTCAGGACTTTACTTTGTTGGATGTGTAAGAAGCTGAGCAAAATCTAGTGCAACAGCACTTTTCATTTCCAAGATTTTTTCTTTAAAAGTTTCAGGTTTTCTTGTGCTATTTCTTACTTTTACCCTCATCAGCAAGTATACCTTCTTTAATTTATTTTGCGTATTAGGACATCTATTAAAGTTGTTATATAAAAAGATGATTTTCCTGTTTTCCTGTAGAAGCAGTTCAGAAAAGCTCTTTTTTGAGTAAAAAAAATATATTTTCGTTTGGAGTAGTATGAATGGCAATTATTATCTATAAAAATTGTGTTCAAGAATAAACATACTTGAATCCAGGTTTCTTTAAGAGAGTGAAARAACAGGAAGTGTGTTGTCTAATCTTAGCAGAAACCATTTTCTCTTGAGGTCAAAAGGAAAGTCCATCCATGGGCTTATTCCAGAATCCAGTGGTGTGCTTTTCAGGATTCATTTTTGAATGCTGCAGTACATGTTGCTGCTCTATTGATTCACTTCCATTTCATAGTGATTTTTAGATTAAAAAGGATTTAATTTTGACTGTGATAAGGAATTAATGATTTTTGCTGACTGAAAACCATATTTTATTGAACACTGTGGTGACAAAACAGAATTGCAAGCGCTGCAAACTTAAGTGGTTGTTAGCATGAGAAGTAATTGGAAATAACAGCCTTCTACATGAAAACAATTATCCAAGGCTGAACAGGCTTCTTTCTTGAATCTGTAACACAATTAACCTCAAAGTTATCTAGCAAAATAAAAGCTTCTCTCCTTTCATAGAAGCTGGTTGGGGTCATGCTATTTGAATAAGACTACAGAGAAAACACATTTTCAGCTCTGCATGGCATAGGTCTGAAATTTATGCATGATGGAGGTAGAGATTGCACATTTCATAGTGTGAATTCTTGGTGGCAAAGGAGTGTGATGCATTGTCAGTTGATGCCATGCAAGAGCGTATATAAGAAAAGGTATTTTAGTCTGCTCAGAATAAAATCTTCAAAACAGATAGGAAGGGAAGAAACTAAAGAAGGCTTTAAGGGTCAAGAAGACCTGGGGTGAGGAAGAAAGTAGCTTACTAAACTCACCAGGCATAACAAGTGGTTACTAAGTATGCTGTCAAATATAGTCACAGAATCACAGAATAAGCTGAGTTGGAAGGGACCCACAAGGATCATCGAGTCCGGCTGCTGGCCGTGCACTGCACCATCTTTCTGTCGTGGGATCAGTAAGCCAGGCACCTACACCTGTCATACACTGAACTATTTACATAGCATAGCTATCCATGCTGTACATAGCTGTACRTTTATATGCATGCTATATATATAGCTATATACAACTATTTTTGTATCCATAACCTGCAGCTTTTGTGTAAGAGCAGATACCTCTATGTTCTGGCAACAATGTGAACTATGCATATTAAAGTGGTGTAGAAGAAAGTTTACTTCATATCCAGCTCTGGACAGCTACTCTTGTTAATCYCAGCTGATTCTTTAATAAATAAATRTRTGTTAAAGATGTGTAAGRTTTCATCAGGAATAAATAAATCATTTTGTGACTCAGGAACAGAAAAAATGCTAAGTACTCGAGATTCATACAGATTCAAAAGTAGTGTCCTCAACCTATTMTTGGATTACCAGAAAAAGCATACATGTAGCAAAAAAGCAGAGAAATCTGAGGTTTGTTCTTGGAAATMTCTTAGCATCAGTTAAGGCAGTCTGTGTCTAAGAGATTCCTGTTGTGAGGAAAAGAAATTCATCGCAAACAAATTCTGGTCCTGTTGTTTTTTGGGKTTTKGKTTTTYYTTWTTTTYYTTWWWTTTKGKTTKKTTTYCYTTTWAMWWTTTTTTTACAACTGTGTTTCCCATACATGAAATAATTTCTGCTTTTTATTCCACCAGCAGAATCCTTCTGGACTCATTACCCATTGTATAATTTAAAGGCTAATCTGTTTTCATTCATTTCATCATGTTTGCAAAGGATGCTCATTGACAGTTTCTTTTGGATCTTCTGTATTGTTCCTGAGACACATGTTGTTTTGAGATTTTTTTTTTTTCCATCCTGATTATCTTCTATAATATCTAGCTCTTTTACACCAAGAGATCACTTCCRTAAGGATTTTCTCAGATTCTCAGTAACTGTCTCGAGGCCTGTGGCCTGAAGAGCCACATGGAATAGCATGCTTTCTTTTTGTGGGAATACACAAAATTACTTTCACACCTAAGAAGAAATTCAGTATTTAGACAATAATAAAAGACAATCATAAACTGTAGTTGTAAATGGAAATGACAAACAGAGGTTCATCTACAGGCTGGTTTCCTGAACACTCATTCCCCTATGACTCCTGTAAATTAAATTAGATGAGCTGTGTTATTTAAATGAAACACTGAAACAACTCTGAGCATACAGAAAATAGTGTAATCTAGAAGCTTATTTGTCCTTGTTTATCCAACCTTCAGTTAACTGAGACTCCTGGTTATTTGAAAGTCGGTCGTGTCCCCTGACAGGCGTGTGCACTGTGCATTACTCCCCTGCTTATCCGGAGAGACATCTGAAACCTTCAGRATAATGGAGTTGTGGGTAAGTGGGTGAGCACTGCATGAAGCACATTGCTCTCTGGGGACATGACCAACTTTCACTTAACCAGGCATGTCAGTTAACAGGAAGTTGGAAAAACACATTGCAGGAGATGAAGTGTCTGTACATGTTTGTTAGCTCTCTGCTGTTAGATAGCTTGTATCAAAGTTCATATTCAGGAGAATTGCAAAACAAGCTTGCTCTTTGCAATTAACCAGGGGCTGGGTGTTGGCTGTGACTTTTTTTGTTAGTTGACCTTTAATGCAGCACAAGTAAATGGTAAAAAAATCCTTGGAAATACATATCTGAAGCTATTCTGCAGTGTGAGTCTACTTTCAGTTTCTTCATTAAATTCAGTTGAATTTTAATTGCAGTTTTAGATTCACAGCTGGCTCAGCTGTCTAGGTGGGGCAGCCATACCCTGCAAAAGATCCTACTGTGCTTCCATCCAGGCTTTGTGAGTGCAGAGCTGCATGCTTTCAGAGAGCAGCAGGAAAGGGCAAAGACAGCCAATAAACACTTGGTTTCTGTAGTAGCAGCATCTGTTTAAATGATTGAGTGGCATTCACAGGGCTCTTTGGCTCTGCTTTCTGTGAGGAGGATTGCAGCTGTAGTGCAAGGCTGTTTCTAGGAGGCGGGTGGATGCCTCTGAAGGGCTGACTGATTATTGTCAAACAGAGACRATTCTCTGTGGCTGAAGGAGCTCTAAGGTCATGCTCTGAAAACTCCCCTGCCCTGTRGGTACAGAATAATGTGCTGTATTGGTGTTCTGAGAGGAGAGACTGGCTTTGGGAATGGAGGAAAGAAGGGCTGTGCTCAGGTAGCAGACTGCAGTCAATGACTCTTGAGTGGTTTGGACTTCAGAGATTTGTCTGAATCTCTTGAATATTTGTAATGCAGAGGGTAATCTCTGTCTCTCCTCTGATGTAGGTGACCAGGAGCTTGGGTGTTGCAGTGAGAGGTGAGGTGTACAATAGCACATGAGAATCTGGTGCTGATGTAACTCTAGTGATGGGCGATAAAATCCAAGTGTTCCAAGTGGTGGCTCCATCCCSCTTCTATAATTCTGGGTAGAATGGGTCCAGCATGGCAACCCAGGAGAGACTCATGTTAAGGACTGGATCTTCTTACCTATCTACATATCACTAAGACTATTTTAAGAACAGTGAAGGGGGAGAGGAAAGAATGTAGCATGATGAGAGAAAAAATGTTAGTAAAAAGTTGTGCATTTAGATCATGCCACGTAGTTTAACTTGCTTTAGGGAGTGAGAGATGCTTTCTGTAGGTTCTGAGAGACAGGAAATGCACTGAAGTTTAGAGTAAGAGTTACTTTATCCCTGTAAATGAGGGCTTTTGCACTGACTTGACTCTGGTGTCATCTAAAACAGAAGTACATGCAAAAATAYTTCCTTAGAGACTACTATGCATTCTTATGCTTTAAATAGGGTTTTACATATCCACATGTTAGTGAYATTTATTACTGCCTTTAAAATGAAGTATGTTCACAAATCCTTACTATRTTTTCTGGTGTTTGTTTTCAATTTTAGGATTAAAGAGCCCCTTCAGGACAGTGTAATAGCTACCTATGAAGAACATGAAGATAGTGTATATGCAGTTGAATGGTCTTCAGCAGACCCGTGGCTGTTTGCCTCTTTAAGTTATGATGGGAGACTGGTTATTAACAGGGTTCCCAGAGCCCTAAAATATCATATATTGTTATAATTGGTTTGGATTATGCTGGAGTTATTATCTTSATGTACAACTGGTAGGTATTGTTTAGGGTTTTTTTCAGGATCTTGGTTTTTTTTTAAGTATAAATGTTAAAATTTTGTTAAGAATATATGTACTAATGTAGACTTGTAATTTGTCTTTTGTATTTGCCTTGAGACACTATGATGCATTTTCTGAAGGCTGTGCTACTTGGGTGATTGTTTTTTTTTTGAGGACTAATCACTTTGTGAATCATAAAGTTTCTGGAGATAGTGGGTACTTTACTATTGCTTTATTACATCAGCTTTATGCAAATATAATGAATTACAGAAATGTTATTATGCTGATACAATACTGGGACAACAAAGGGTGCATTTAGCAGCAGTGATCCACTTGTTTTCCAGGAAACTTTTATATTTCTTGGTGTAAGCAGCCTTCTGCTCTTAGCTAGGGCCACATTCTCCTAACTGTTCTGGCCACAAATACAATTGGGAGTGGTCTTAAAAGGCTTTCTTAATACAGTATAATATTTTAAACACTTTTTCTTTTGTTTTTGCATGTCTTCAGAAGAAATGTTTTTTTGTGAAAAAGAAACCTTCAAAACGTATTTTTCATTTGAGCCTTATGGTACTACCAACAAAGTAACATCTCTCAATTTGCCTATTAAATGCCATTCTTAGCTATGCATTATTACTGGAAACAATATTAGCCTTTACCAAAATCTCTGATATAGTCACCTAATGTGTTACCCCCTATTTACAGGTTTAAATTGTGCTGTGAGGGACTCTGGAGCTATGCCACTGTTAACCTARAAAACCTCTTTAATATTTGTCTGCTTAGACTTTTGTTCTTACTATTCTGGCTCTGTGCCAATCTGCAGTATGCTGACATGATGTAAAAAGCTTGCAACTAAGCACAAAATATCCTTTGCTATATCCTTCTTTTTGCAATAGGTGACCTAGACATTGGTTACTGTGTTGTTACAAATGCTGAGAACAGGCAGATGCTGCRCCATAGGAGAATGCTCAGGAAATTTCAAATGTAGGTGGAAGGCATGGTGAAACATTCCTGTACATACTGATATCCTGTCTTCCCTTGGCATAGCTTCCACTAAGATGAAGATTCTGCTGCGTTCTCTTTGTGTACCCAGGCTCACTGCAGCATTCATTATTCCCTGCTGCTTTTTCACCGCAATTATTTCCCTTTAACTTCAGAACTTGGGTACGTGCGACAATGTCAGTTGTGGTGGCTTTGTGTAAGACCACTCTGAAGAAATGGCAATGAACATGGGATGGAAGATCAATACCAGCCTCTTCCAGTGATGGCTTCTGTTGCTATGGCAACTGTTGGTGTTRGTGTTGAGGGACAGCCTGCTGCTCACCTCTGTTTGTCCTTACCCACTCTTGGATCGAAACACGTCCAAATGTGATTTGTTGTGTACACACAGCTGCTTTAGCGAGATCACGTTTGGAGAGCATGACTGACTGCTGTAGGCCAAAATATCCAGAAAAGATGACAGTGTATTCTATTTCTGGCTTTCTTAAAGAGCTTACTTGGAAAAATTCATAGGAGTGAAATAATCCAATTAAATAATCTGTACTGCTGTTTGCGTTTGTATTAGTGATGTTGCCTTTGTGCTCCAGAATGAATCTTTCATTGGAAATTCTGATTATCTGCTTTCCTACATTTATATTTTAGACTTGTACTATTTCACATTGTTTCAATCTGTAATTAGGCATGAGCTATTCCCCTGTATCCTGTAAGAAAAACTACATTTCCAAATCAGTAGTGCTTCAGTTATCTGAACATGAAAATCCTTGGTTGACCTGCTGCTTTATATATGAAGCTTTTCATCTTCAGGCACAAAATCTTGTTGAGTATCGTGTCTGTCCCGCCTGTGCACCACCCTACCCCACCCAGCCTCCTGGAAAAAAAAAAAGAAAAAACCTCTGCAGTATGTCTTTGGTATGCAGCAGAGCTCCTTAGAACTTTCTTCACATTAGCAATAAAAGTCTAATGAAACTTTATTGTCTGGTAGTCTATATGGCTTGCAGTGTGAAGGTGACGGGGAAATTCCATAACTGTGTGGGATTTGGCTTGATTTTTAACATGTAATAAATACAGGATAGATTTCAGGCTAATTTTACTTGGCTGTATTTTCTTTTAATTTTGTGAGCTTATATGAGCTGGAAAGCTCTGTAAACAAATAACATCAAGAAATGTTTTCTTTTAGTTTTGTTAAATGTACATCTGTCATTCAAAAGGGAAGAAGAGCRTGGATGAACACTAGAAAGGAAGGGGCTAGCAGGTCAAATTTGAATGAAAATGCATTCTAGTAGAATCAAGAAAGGGGCAACTKTTAATCATTTTCAGCTGTTTGTAAAGTGGGAGCTACATGTACAGCACTGGCAGCAATATGGGATTGACCTTCAGAAAGGGAATGCTTTTGACAGGRTTTCATCCCAGGCTGTTAGAGCAAGCAAGGAAGGGGCTGTAGGATGAGAGGAGGGGTTCTAGGATGGTTAAATAACTGATTAAAACATAGGAAATAGGAAGCAGGAATACATCATCACATTTCATGGCAAAAAAATAAATGACCAGTGAAGTCTTCAAGGATCYGTGCCTAGGCATGTGCTTCACAGTATATTCATGACCTTTTGGAAAAAGGGCTGCACAGAAATGTGACAAAGTTTTCAGAGACTATTCAGAGTAGTAAAGATGACCGAAGAATTATGAAAGGGCCTTATCTCATGGATCATAAAATGGTAGATTTTCAGTGCAAGAAATGTTAAGTAACTAATACGGGAGAAAACAGATACTTTACATACTGTGGACCACCAATATGGCTATTACTTGGAAGGAAGATCTTGGGGATTTTATTATATATTTTATTGGGGATCTTTAAAAACATTGGCTTAATAGAAGTCAAAATTTTCGTTAAAATGTTGGAAATTACAAGCAAAGAAGTAAAGAAAATAAGACATGGTTAATCTCCCAAAATAATTATGCTTCTAAATCTGTGGTGTATTAGCATCCTTAACACTGTGTGTAGTTGTGGTTTCTTCCATCTCCAGCCCAATACAGTAAAACAGAAAGATTTTAGAGAATGACAGGAATGATGAACAGCATGCAGCACCTGTATGAGGGTAACTAAATAGACTGAAAGGCAGATGGTTGAGAGGGAATGATAAAAGTTCATAAAATCACAARTGGCAGCAGGAGAGGATGAATAAGGGGTGATTGGTCTCTGTCCTGATAGCAGAACCAGACGTTATTGGGCGTAATCTGCACAGGGCGACCAAAGCATACGAAATAAGATGGTCTTCACAGGCGTGGAGATGAGCTATGACACTCCCCTTTAACAATTCCTTCCCTCTGCAAAAAAAAAAAAAAATGTCTGCACAAAGAAAAAAAATCTTATTAATGTTAAAGTGTACATGACTTGAAAGTATCTGAAACCGTATTGGMAAGATTAATCCATTAAAGGTTGCTAAATAAAGTCAGCATCCCTGGCTCAGAAAATCCTTTTGAACTGTCAGTGGACACAACAAAGAGTACTGGCAGAGAATCCCCATGTGCTTGTCCAGTCTTTAATTACCTCCCTGGACATGAGCTATTTACCAGAAAAGGTAGAAAATGGAAATTAAAAATAATAACTTTGTCTCCAAAGTTTTGCATCTAGAGCTAAGTACATTTCTCCTGCGTGTTTCGTTGCATGTTTCTCTCTGCATTACACTTTTATTGTGAGTTTTGTTTTAGGGGTTTCAGAAAACTGTCGTGTCTCAGGTGAATTTCTTACAGAATCCCGTATTGTCTTTGGAAACAATATTGTTGCAAAATACTCCTTGGCAAAAGGACTGCGAAGGCAAGCAAATTTCCGTGCAGAAAGGAGTTCATCACTGCATGGATGGTCTGACAGATCTCGCAGCTCTGGGTTGTTTTCAGTGTCTCAGAGAATTCTGTTTATACAGCCATATAGCAGCATTGGTAAGCACAAAATTATTCTGTTTTCAAGCACCTCTTCAATGATTTTTATTTCTTTTCAGATTGTGTCCAGGTAAGAAATTTTAGTAGGTCTTTATTTTGAAAAAGTGAGTTGTCATATTCCTAAAAATATCAGTCTTGCTGTCTGAAAATTAATTTCCTTCTAGGTTTGGTGCAGAAAATATTTTCATAATTATGTATTAGTATGTGTCTGGTATAGAATTAAAAAAAAATCAAAAATGCTTGATATATAGTACTTTTATGACACAGAATATGAATTATTGAAGAAGAAAGAAATTATAATATTTTATAAAGGTTTTGAACATAATCTAAGTGAAACTGATCCAAGCCCTGGCCATTTAATGAGAAGTTTGAAATAACAATTTGTTTAACTTGAACCAAAATGATGTTAATATTAAGAAAATACCAAAAACCTAACCCACCACCAAACACCTAAAAGCAAAACCTCTCAGTACTGACCTGGACTTTTCCTGTGGTGTTAGTGCTAAAATTAGCTTGATATATCCTGAAGCCCATGAAGTTAACGAAGAGCTTGTCAACATCAGAATRAATGAAGAACATATATTGTTTGGCTTGCATAGACTGGGTGTTTGCTCTAAGCCTGTCGTCCTTACCTTGTACCTTTTAAATTCTTSAAGTTGGATGGGAAGAAGAAGCCATATGATCTGGATTATGTGCAACACTAAAATTAGTTGAAAGCAGTTCTTTGTAAAGAATTAAGCTTCTAGAACATAGACTTTTCCAATAAGCAACAGAAAACATTAATTCTGTATTTGCCTCTGCATTTGGAATTTCTTACTCTTTCAGCCTGGTACCTCTGGCAGTATTTGAGACTGAAATTCTGCAGCTAATGTAAGRTAGACTTCAACAGTGTCTGATGTGGTCAGACACCACAAGGTATCTTACATGTAACTGGGGCAGTGAAAAGTAAGCAATCATCATGAAGATCAGCATTTGGATGCAAACTTGTAATGCCATTGAGCTTCCAGTTGGCTTCACTCAGGATACCCAGGGTATTTTTTCTTTTTTTAGAGGATATGAAGATAGTGCTTAAAATTGTCTTGTGATGCCTGAGATGAATGTTCTGAAGCTGCAGAAAGCCTGTGATTTCTGGAATAGCAWGCGAAGGGACTGAGGGAAAACTGTAAATCAGTTTTTCACGAAGCCTGGCCTTCCCTTAAAGGGAGCTGCAAGGTGTGAAGCCATGGATATTTCCCAGAACAATTTGTACATTGCTTCTGCACTGCCACTTTGGTCAGTGAGAAGAAAATGAAATAAGCAGATCTGGAGTAAAAGGCACAGGAGAGGAAAAAGTAAAAAGGAAGACTGACAAATACAGAATGAAAAGTGAACTGAAAAGGACAAGATCAAGGAAATTTTGATCACTTGGGAAAGAGAAATAGGAAGGATGGAAGAAATTTGCAGTAAGTGAAGGAAAGGATACAGGGGTAAGGAGTAAAAAAAACCTCAACAGTATTATTTGCTTGTTTTGCCATGATATAAAAAGTCCTTAAATTTCTACAATGTTAGTCTTCCTCTGTTAACTGATTTAAGTATTAGAGAATTGCTATTTAYGTTGCAGCCTTGTAGTTCTGATATTGAAGATGGTTCTTGTAGGTTAGTTATTAATCTAGAAGTTAYTAGTCCAAACGTGTGTTTTAGGGATTTAGGATTTTTGGCTGTTCATTATTCTGTCCCTTTCAGTGCAAAGTTATCAGATGGGGTAATTAACCCAAGCCAGTAGTAACCTGAGAGGCAGGAAGAAAATTTCAAGTAGGCTGTTAATCTTGAGTCACACTGATTAAATCTGCAGAAATACCTGTTTATGACAGACGCTGTTTGTCSCTGTTTGTGATGTCAAGAGAGTGTCATACTCAGAACATCCAAAGATACTAGATGAGATTAATGAAGTATCTGAGGTCCACTTTTCCTTCCACAGTAACTTACCTTACAGCAAAACAATTCTGAGCTATTCCTGAGAAAATTTGCTTGATGCCGCAGCTTTTGGTGTTGTGCCGGCTCCAACTTCATAAGGGAGTCTTAGCAGTCCAGCACAGAAGATAGCTTTGGGGAGAAAGAGATGAATGATTCTTACTGAATCCAGGAGTCAAACTCCCAGTGTGAAGAAGCCTGGCAAATGGTTTCCATTGCCCTGGAGCTAAAGCACAGCTGCCAAGCAGCTGGGCTGAGCAGGGAAGACCCTCTAATGTACCTTCTCAGCAAATTGTCCATTTATTCTGATGCTGCGCTGAGTTCAGGATTTTGGCAGGAGGGACTGTRGAAAAGCTCCTAAACAGAATGAAATGAGAAGAATATGGAAAACCTTGGAAAGCCCAAAGATACCACATACTAATCAGCAAGTCTAGATGAGCTGAATCCTGGGGTGGCAATAGTCTTGGCAGACAAACTCACTGAGCCACTGCCAGCTTCTAAAAATTTGTAGAGGACTGAGRAGACACGAAAGGCTGGCAAATAGCAGAAGTGGTATTGATATTTGAGTTGTGTGGAACAGCAGTGCACAGAGTTGGATAAGGAAATGTGTTTCAAAATGAGGAAATTTCAGCCAAGTTATGAATGTTTTATTTGTTTGTTTTTAACAGAGGGATTTTCTTATAAACACCAAAATACTGGCAAATATCAAAACTTAGGAGATGACATTCATGGAACAAAGTGGGGATTAAGCATTTTGTTGCACMGAACAGCCAGAATTCTGGCCCAACAGCTTATATGGTTTCCCTTACACCATTCTTTTTTCAAGGGGGATGGGTGGACTGTAATTTATAATGGTAAATTGAACTTGTCTTCAAACACAAAAAACCTGCAAGTGTTAGTTTTTCATCACTGGAAAGAGTTTCTGTTAAGGCAAATAATGAACTAGTTTTGACTCTGCCTGGAAAGCAGTGGGTGGGGAGAATGCCTGGAAGTTGACTTTGTAAAGGTCATGAATAGGAATGATGTTTTCCAGCACGCAGTTTGTGGGGTAAAGCACTCACCTGAGGACCTCCAGCCACGTCTCAGTATAGGCATATGATGTTTAGCAAAATTACCTATCTGAAGTGCTTCCAAACAAAGGATTATGCTGCTCAGGATAATGATATACCAGCACAAACAGGAAAGCATCTTCTTAAGAATGTTTCTTTATCATCATGAGA